CCTTCAAAGATACGTCTTCATCCTCGCGATGGAACTCGTACTGGTTCAAGTCGATGCCTTCAACTTCCATTGCTTCTCGCAGTCTCGATTGCCTTACTTGCCGTTGTCGATAATCCTCGCTTTGCCAACTCCCTCTTGAGAGGAGGTATCGTCAAATCCTGAATCTTCACCATTTTGCAAATATTATCCTTTGGGATTTGTTTAACAATCTCACTTCTGACACCAATTGTTACGATTTTGCTTAATCAACCTCGATGATTTTTTGAATCCTTCGGGTACGATCTCTGGATTGTTATATAAAAAATCGTCAACTTAATTTGCAGTTTCTTTCGTTATAAAGAATTTATCTAATGTCCTTCATTTGCTCAGTAATTCACAATTCAATTACAATACATATTACTAGGTACAATCACTTGTATAAAACTTTCACAATTTACTTGACTTAAATGTAATCTCCAACGCGTTTACTTTACGACTCAATATTAACAAATATTTATTCCGCTATACTCTGTACTGATGTTGTCGCCAACGAGTTCACTTTGTAACTGACTTGGCAGCTGAGTGTCGCCCTTATATAGCAATCGGCTGCTCGTAGACGAAAGTCGTTTTATCGTTCTAGAATGTACTAGTTATCGGCTTCTCTCTTTCATCTGACATTCGCCTCCCATTTTCGCAGCAATATGTTCTATGCTGACGGTACAGGCATGTTGTGTCAAATTGAGGCTTCTTTTAAGAAGGAGATTCTGCTGTCAACATCGAAACAAGTTTCAGTGCCCTTTGCTTAGAATTACAGGAAGTCTACACTTCTCTCCGGAAAATGATCCAGGAACAGACCTATTCTAAAATATCGGACTCCTCTTATCTCCGGGAAGTGGTCAAAGGACTGAACTATTTCAAAAAATTGTCTTTGTTGCTCGAATTACTTGAAATTGGGTACATTTATATTAGATAAGCAGGAAGACTACACTTATTTCTGGGAAAGAGACCAAAGACTGGCCCATACAAGCAAATCTAATTTATTGTCTTATATACTTGAAATGCAGTCCTAGGTGCCCTTTTGGTTAGATTAACTGGAAGACTACACTTCTTTCCGGAAAGTCGGCAAGGCACTGACATTCGAACAAACTTTATTTATGGCTCGGTACACAAGTGGATTTTTGCTGTGATTAACAAGACTTTTTTTTCTTTGGGAAGTGAAACTGAAACTATTCGAAAAAATAGTATTTTTTGCTGGGCTTTGCTCAGATGAGTCGGAAGATTAAAAAGGCATACTTTTCCTCTCTCGGTAAAGTAGATCAATGGCAATGGTAAGTCCAAAAATTTTGTATACCTACAAGTATTGAGTAAATAGATTTATGATAAAAAGGTATGCCATGATTTTTTGACATACATTCAATGAGTATGCGCAGCAGCGAAGTGTTGCAGGGTACAGCTAGTTGATATGTAATATAAAAATTTCATCGTGCGTGTCAAATTTATAATTTTTGTGCATTACATCCGATGGGCGGCAGATTTTGTCGCAACCTAAACTAGTTAGAGATGACACATCATTTCGTCACTGATATTATCAATTTTGGAACTTCACCTTTATATAATAATAACACAACTTTTTTATTACGTTCGTTAACATTTCATTTCTTTAATAAGCAACTACATAATGTCAGCGGAAACTGCGTTCAGAAAGTCTTAAAGTTAATACTGGCTGATGGAAGAATTTAATTGTTGCGTATAGCACAAGGATAAAAGATTAGCAAAGAACGAGCTGAGAAGATTTTGCATGAACATTCGAACATGAAAACAGTTAGTGCGCGTTGGGTACTGCAAAAGCTCACGTCGTTTGATAAGCAGCGACGATTGTAGAATGGTAAAGATTTTTTTAGTTCTGCCAAGATGATTTGGATGAAATTTGCAGCCGCATTGCAACAATTAATAAAGCCAGGATTCGTGAGTATTATAACTAGTCAAGCAGGAGTAGATGTAGTAGATAAAACAGGGGAAAATCCAACAAAAAAATTCAAAGTGGAAAAGTCGGCGTCGAAGGCTATGGCTACCATGCTTTTTCGGGATAACGAGAGAATATTATTAAATGATTACTGTAACAGGGAACTACAATAAACGGAAAGTATTACGTTAATTTGTTGAGATGCCGTAAGTTTGCGCGGAGTGCAGTTTCTTCAAGACAACGCTTTGATTGCGAGGCATGACTTAAAACGACTTATAAAAATCCACAGTCCGGTCCTAGCTCCCAGTGATTTTTTTCCTTTTTTTTTTTAAGATTTTTAGACGACAATGAAATAAAAGCGGTCGTGGAAAACAATTTTGAAAAGTTAACAACCAAGCAGAGAGGATTTGTACCTTTTACGTAATTGATAACGGGTGCCTATCATTATTTTTCATTTCATTTTTTTTCTCATATTCAGCACCTCAATTTGCCAAAACTCTTTGCAGACCAATTCAAACAGAGGTTTTGAAATTTTTTGCAGGTTTTAATGCAAAACCTTTTAGACTATACAGCTGAAAAAATATTGATCCTACAAAAAGATGCAACATCTCAAATTAAAAATATAACACGTTGCATGCTACGCTTCCGATGGTTCTCTGGATCTATCCATTATTGTCCGCATTTTTATACCTGTAAAACTAATAGGTGCAAATCAACAAATTACAATGCTCGACATTCTGTATGATTCTGCAGGCCACTTAAAAATGAGTATGCAAAGCAAAGCCATTTGAAAATATTAAGAGAAAAAGGATATTTCGATATGCCAGTAGCGGGCTTAAAGGATTTCATATATGCTAAAAAAAAAGCAAAACAATTGTCATTACTTATAAACCATAGACGACACTCATTGACTGATTTGACTCCGAATGTTATGAGTCAAGACTTGCTACTCTGAAATATGGTGTCAGTCCATCATTGCATGCCTTTGAATATGTGTTACACATATCCCAAAGACCCTGGCTAATAAAATCAGATTGACTCGGAAAAAGGAAATTCAGGAAGTAATATGGTCAAAAATGGGGTTGCATGTAAGCATTCCGAAGCAAAACGGAAATGGGAATAGTGGAAACACGGCTAGAAGAGCATTCGTAAATTGCCAATTATTTTCATCAATTACAAGATTTGTTCAAAATATTTTGTACAATGAGTAGCTTTTTCACTATTTCATACGAGTATTCTATTCAAGGCATTTTGTAAGGAAATACTTTTGTTATGTATATGTTAATATTTATCCTAGGTATCCTATGTCACCGACGGTTCATAAAATATATGTACATGGCTGAAAAACAGTGGGAAAACACATGCCCCAAAAAATTGCTGCTTAAGCAATATGGCCGATGTCTTTTATAGATATCTGTTTAAACGAAAGCCAAACAAAATTAAAGAAAACAATCTTTTAAAATGCTCAACTCTACCAAGCTATAAAACAATCACGTCAGCAAATGTTGATTATAATGATTATTTAGAAATTGAGTTGGATGATGAAGAAGATTATTATTTTACCAAATACAATGTCAAAATAATAGTTTAAAAAAGTAAGTTTTTCTCCTGTGGGCAAAGGGTTGGAAGGTGTGGTGTAATGTTTGGAAAGAAAACCTAATTCTCTAATATTTTTCAGAATTGATGTGCCAAACTTGAACTCTCTAGCCTTAAAAATGGACTTTATGCAAAAATTTCGGCATTTTTGCACATAGTGCAATGGAGTAAATATAGCGCATTACAATAAAAGGGATTACTGGAAGGAATTTTTGGTGTCGGATTCGTGGCGGCAAAGAGACTTTGTCGTCGGATACTGGCGTTCACTATGAAGACAATCAGCCTCCACAACGAAATATCCCTTGGTGGGTTAAGACTGATCGACTTCGCCGGGGCCCGAAGTACGGTAGTTTGTAGTACTAGATTCCAGCACAAGAAAATTCACCAAGCTACTTGACTGTCTCCAGATCGAAAACACAAAACCAGATCAATCACATTGTGGTAGACAGAAGACATGTATCTAGTGTTTGGACACATCTAGCATGTTTCTAGCTCTAAGCACCGACTCTGATCATTATCTTGCCGCAGCGAAGATAGGCACGCGCTTCTTTGTAACAAAGAATGCCCATCAACAAACACAAAAAATGTTCGACGTAGGAAAGCTTGAACATCTGCTTTCTGAGAGCTCTCATTTCTAACTGAATACGAGGTGTGACAATTAAGTAATCAGACTGTCGTATTGAGTAAACGTATGTTCATCGTGCTCGTCACGAAAATGGAAAAACGAAATCAAATGTAGAATCAGTCTTATTATCAATTTGTCACACCTCATATAAGAAAATTAGGGAAGGAAATCTTAAACTACGTACCGTCGCTGCAGAAACAAATGGTTTTCGGCAGTGTCAGTGAAAGAACTGGTACGATGTGGAATGTAGAACTGGAGTGGAGAGAAAACAAACTGCCTACCCCAGAACCTTGCGATCGACCACATCACGTGCAGGACGGCTTAGATTAGGTGATGAAGGTGATCTAGCAACCGATGCCTAAAGTTTACTTCTCTTATGGAGGGAAAACTTTTCCAGCCTACTGAATGGCAGAGAAAATAAAACACTCAGAGATGGTCAACCCGGATCGATGTAGATAAAAAAAAAACATTGCCTTACCCAACTATGACGGTGTTTGAATAGCGATTTCCGCTTAAAGAACAACAGAGTTGCTGGAACTGATGGCCTACCGGTAGAGTTAATCAAACATGGCGCTGAAGTGCCGACAAGGTACATGTATGAGCTTAATTGCAGAATATGGTCGAAGGCTTGCCCGACGATTGAAACCTAAGTGTGCTCTGCCCAACCCACAAATAAAGTGATCCCACTGTCTGCTCCAAACTCCCGGGGATTAAGCCTCCTCAACATCGCATATAACATCATGCAAAGCGTATTTTGTGAAAGACTTGTCCAAAACTGATTGCACCTTAGCAGTTTGGCTTCAGACCTGGTGTATCAACCAATAACCAGATACTCACCATGAGACGAATCTTGAAAAAGAGCCGTACAAAGAGAATCGACGCACACCACCTCTTCATTGATTTTAAAACCGCCTTCGACAGCACGAATAGCAGTTGCCTCTGGGCCGTCATGTCTGAATTTGGTATCCCAGAAAAACTTATACGGCTATGTAAGCAGACACTGGACAACACTAGAAACGTAGTCAGGATTGGGAAGTTCCTTTCCGAGCCATTTGATACCAAAAGAGGTGGAGGAGAAGCGAAGACGATGTGGACATAGGATGGTTCTTTGCGCATTGACAACGACGAATGTAGACACAGCGGCTACGATGGCTAGGTCATATCGTTCGAGTGGCTGAAACCACTACAGCTTTGAAAGTATTCGATGCAGAACGCGAAGGCGGTAGAGCTCCGTTTAAAGAATCAGGCGCCGCAGAGAGTGTAGAAGAGATAAACGGCGTCCTAATATTTATTCGGCGTACCGCGTAAGCGCTGTCAACGCCAATAAAGAAGAAGAAGAAAAAGAAGAAGAAGAAGAAGAAGGAGAAGAAACATAAAAAAATGTTCAATCGGAGCATTAGATATAAAAATTTCCAGCATGCAAAACTTAACTGATGATATGTTGTATTACGGCACATTTAGGATAGGGAAAGAGAAGGTGAACATGAAACGGAAAGTGAAGATAAATGATATTGAGGTGAGGGACACGGTCCTTTTGCGAAACTTTGTATTCAATCAGAAAAACCTGACCCCATGAAAATCTAGATGTCAGATACGGGTTGAATATAAAATAAATAGGCACGGGAAAGACCTCCTAATCAGTACAAAAATGGTAACAGTTCAAATATTTTAAGCAAACATATCGACACTCTAAAACCAAAAATCGGAAATCCTATTGATGAAACAACAGATACGCAGAAACAAAAACTAAAAATGTATGCGACTTGACTTCCGATAACAGAGAATCAAGTAAAAAAAATAAAGTAATACCATAAGAAATTTGCCAAGAAATAGAAACTTATATAAAGCGACAAAAAATACAATAGTAGCAAATTAACAAAGAGGATGCAGAAAACATATTAAATGATGTAAAGAATAAGCAAGCTGCAATACAATAAAGAAACTTATTATGTAAATCATCGATTATTCAGAAAGACACAACAATTTTACAGAAAAAAAATAAACCAAATAATAGCCAATAACCACTTAATCATAGAAAACATCAAACCACATTACAAATACGTTTCCGAAATATTTTAGTAAATGAAACAGTCTTATTGTATTGGAATGACTATACTAGTATAATATATGATATAACACTAAAAACACAAATAATAAAAATTCAAGCTAGACGATACTAAGATTTACCAAAAATATACATAATATAGAAAAGTATGACGAACTTAGTCAAGAAGTTAAACTTGTATGGGAACAGATCGCGGGGAAAATAGATACCCAACTTAAGCGAAAGTACACGTCAAAAAACAAAACAGCGGTAATTATATTGTTGCGAAAATGCGATGAGAAGCCGTTAACTAATACATTCTAAAACGATAAAACGAGAACCTTTGATAGCGAATAACTCTATTATTCTACACTTTCGTCTACGAACAGCCGACAGCTATATAAGGGCGAAACTCAGCTGCCAGCATTTAGTTACAAAGTGAACTCGTTGGCGAAAACATTAGTACAGAGTATAGCGGAATGAACCATTTGTTAATATTGAGTCGTAAAGTAAACGCGTTTTAGATTACATTTAAGTCAAGTAAATTGTGAAAGTTTTATACAAGTGATTGTACCTAGTAATATGTATTGTAATTGAATTGTGAATTACTGAGTAAATGACGGACATTAGATAAATTCTTTATAACGAAAGAAACTGCAAATTAAGTTGGCGATTTTTTATATAACAATCCAGAGATCGTACCCGAAGGATTCAGAAAATCATCGAGGTTGATTCAGCAAAATCGTAACAATATGTTCATAATAAGGATATTTTTAAAACAATATAAACAAATAAAACAGCGGAGCACTTATCCCTGGATACAAATAACCAAGGCAAATGATATCTCCGGCAGTGTGAATCATGAACTAAATAATACTAATAATAAAAAATAATAATAGCGAAAATAAAACTTTTGATGAAGATCCAATTGTGTGCATATGTGTATGTGATTACAAACGACTTCGTCATAGATTACGTATTGGGGATGCTTTTCCTTTATTGTTCCAGGCTTTGGGAAAAATGAATTATAGCGGGTGGTAGGGGGTTCCACCCTCTCTCAGAAACCGAAAACCAATCCTACCGGAGACCTATAGTTAGGTATTTAAAGTTGAAACTGCAAAAAAATTGAATTTTTACCCTATTTTTTTATACATAAAGCCATTACTGTGAATTTTGGTGCTGCCACATATAAAAAAGAAATTCTAAAATAAAACAACTAGAATAAAATTTTTAAACTTTATATGTATATTTGACGACTTCTAAAATTTTTAACGTGTCTTCCCTGTTTTTTTTTTTACTGATTTTCGCCACGTCGAAATTAGCCGGCTTCGCCTTGCCCAGAATTTAAGGCGAAACTGTTTAGTAGCTTGGCTGCCGTTGGCCGCGCTTTTGATTGTAACACTAGGCCAGACCAACACCGGCTTCGCCTTGCACAGTATTTTTAGGCGAAACTTTTTTGTAATTTTGCGGTCTTTGGCCACGCTTTTGAATGTAACCCTGGGCCGTACTAACACCGGCTTCGCCTTGCACAGTATTTTAAGCGAAATTTCTTTGTAAATTGGCGGCCTTCGGCTACGGTTTTCATTGTTACCCAGGGCCTGACCAACACCGGCTTCGCCTTGCACAGTATTTTTAGGCGAAAAACCGTTGTGAGTTGTCGGCCTTCGGCTGCGCTTTTGATTGTAACCCTGGGCCTGACCAACACCGGCTTCGTCTTGCTCAGTATTTGTAGGCGAAACACCGTTGTTAGTTGGTGGCCTTCGGCCGCGCTTTTGATTGTAACCCTGGGCCGGACCAACACCGGCTTCGTCTTGCTCAGTATTTGTAGGCGAAACACCGTTGTTAGTTGGTGGCCTTCGGCCGCGCTTTTGATTGTAACCCTGGGCCGGACCAACACCGACTTCGCCTTGCACAGTATTTTTAGGCGAAACTCCGTTGTAAGTTGGCTGCTTTCGGCTGCGCTTTTGATTGTAACCCTGGGCCTGACCAACACCGGCTTCGTCTTGCTCAGTATTTTTAGGCGAAAAACCGTTGTAAGTTTATTTTTATGCCGTATGGCAACGCCCACTTATTGTTAATGTCAGATATTTCCCTTGCAAATCATATCAAAATAATACACAAAAAGAAAATAATATTTTTCTGCTAACCAAGTAAAATAAAAATACAACAACTTTTAGTAATCGCATGTGAACAGATTAAAGTTAGTATTTTGCATCATGGATGTTAAATAAGTGCTGGTGCTAAGCAAAAATTTGTGATGAAAGTGTAAATTTATTAACAACAAATTATTTTTATATTTATAAAAATTTATGTGTTAATTATAACAAATAAACATAGATTATATCAACAGCAACAACTCCTGCAAAATTTCATTAGAATTGGTCAATTAGTTTGTTTTTAAATTATAATTGTGTAAAAACCTGTACATTAGTGTATTTTTATTTTTATGCCGTATGGCAACGCCCACTTATTGTTAATGTCAGATATTTCCCTTGCAATTCATATCAAAATAATATACAAAAATAAAATAATATTTTACTGCTAACCAAGTAAAATAAAAATACAACAACTTTTAGTAATCGCATGTGAACAGATTAAAGTTAGTATTTTGCATCATGTATGTTAAATAAGTGCAGGTGCTAAGTAAAAGTATGTGATGAAAGTGTAAATTTATTAACAACAATATATTTTTATTTATATAAAAATTTATGTGTTAATTATAATAAATAAACATAGATTATATCAACAGCAACAACTCCTGGAAAATTTCAATAGGATTGGTTAATTAGTTTGGCTGAAACAAGCATTGGAACCATAAAGGAAAGCCCAGCCGCGTATTGTTAAAACTATTTTATTTTGCTGAACTATTTTGAATTAAAAAAATTATCAATTTATTTTACAATACAACTGTATTTTTCATCTGTATTGTTTTAGCTAAATACAGACATTCATGAAAATGGATCACTTAATAACGGCACCATTCATTAAATTTTTTTTTTTGGCCTGCAATTGCAAAATATGACTTGAACAAAATACTTTCAACAAGATGTTGCTGCATACATATCACAATACACGGAGAAATACGGCTTTAATGGGAAAGAAAATTCCTGGCCATAATTTCTCCTCTTGGGGATGTCAATTAGCCATGCGAAAGATCGTTCAACTCTTGGGTACTTCATAACCAACATTAGCCAAGTTATGGCTGAGATTCCACTCAATGGTGGCTGCTAAGGTTTAATTTTTATGATAAAAAAATAAATTTTGTAAAAACTAATCGTATTTAAATAGCTTTTACGTTTATTTTCGAAACGAGCTGAATTTAACACAATTTTTTAAAAGCTGATACAGCAATTAATTATCTCATATAGGTCAGCTTCATAAGTGTATCTATTCCATATTGTATCAAAAATTCCAGAGCAAACATTATGTATTGTACAAGCAGCCACTAACTGAGGGAAAATGTAAATTATTTATATTAAAACCAAAATTGCGAAAATATTTTTATTCTGTAGAATAAAAATTTGGGATTTTTAGTTAACTTTTTCTTTTAATATTTCAGAATGTGTTTTAGTCTAAGCCACCTTACATGAGAAACTGGAAATAAAAATCCACAAAAAATATATTCTGTTCAAATTCTTTAGTAGCTAATGGCAATTGATTTATGCTTTTTTGTGGCTTTCATATTTCTTTCTTTATTATTTATTATCTAACCAAATTCCTTATATCCTGCTCTATACTGTTAACGGGTGTAAAGTTATCTCATATATATGTATACAAAAATATGTTCACCTTGCCCACGTTACCTTGGAGTTTGTTTGTTATAAACATACTGTTGCGAAAATGCGAGGCGAATGTCAGATGAAACAGAGACGCCGATAACTAGTACATTCTAGAATGATAAAACGAGAATCTTCGATAGCGAACAACTCGATTATTCTACACTTTCGTCAACGAGCAGCCGACTATAAGGGCGACACTCAGCTGCCAAGTCAGTCAGCTGAAAAGCACGGTGTGTCCCAAAAATAACCGAACTTTTTGGATATAAAATAAAATACACATTATTTTATCTTTGAAAGTTATTATTTATTCAAAATAGGTTCCATTTGACTCAACACAACGTTTGGAACGATCAACCAGCGCTTGCATAGATTTTTTTATGTCATTTATAGAAATGTTCTTCAGTACCTCGGTTACGGCTGCTTGAATGGCTGGTATATCATCATAAAATGCTCGCTTCATCTTGGTTTTCAGTTTTGGAAATAAAAAA